CGCGATCGGTCCCGGTCACGGGACCTCTCACGAGAACGGTCACGATTACGGTCATAGTCACGGGAATCTCTGCGATCACGGAACAGATTATCACGGAACTGCCGGGCATAAGTTCGATTACTGCGGTAATTGCGATCATAACTGCGACTGCGGTCACGTCTGTAATCACGGTATTTCGAACTATCAGAACGTTCACGGCTTCGATCACGGTTATCACGAGAACGGCTTCTGCCACGGTAATTCGACTGGGAATTATTCTTCATGAAATTCACTTCAGCATTATCACTGGTAACATTCTGAACACCGCGAGCATCGGTTTTATCGATATTAGCGATTTTGGTCAGCACTGATCGCATCTTGTCAACTGACTTGGCATCTGTGACTGCCAGTAACTTGCGGTACTCTGGTATATTCATGAATGCTCGGGTAATTTCAGCGATCTTATCGTCTTCGGACATTAATGGGTTTACTTCATCGAACAGGACCTGTAGTTCGTCAAAGAATGTATCAACATCTTGACCAGGTCGGAAAGTTTTCTGGGACAATTCGATTCGCTTATTGAGCTTATAATCAGCAGGCAAATATCGCTTGACCAAGATGGACTTCCATCCATCGTAGTCGGTATTCTGATTGGTTTCCCACATAGACTCAAAGAACTTGCGACGGGAATCTTCGAGGTATGCTGGTAGCATGAGAACCTTCTTCGATGCTGACCAGCCAAGACTGTTGGTAGCACGGCCATATTTCCGGAAGAAATCGGTAATAATCAGTTCGGACTTGTTCGCGAACTTCTGAATACCGAAATCTTTCACGGACACTTTATGAGGATCAACGGTAGTTGACGACGAATGGGAATTAGGACTCATTTTGGATAAAGCATCGACAAGCTGGGACATTGACACGGAATTACGGCCACGCTCGAGATGATCGATGCGATCAAGCATCTGCTTACGTTCGCTTTCGATATCTCGACGGACAGTTTCTTCATGCATCAAGATTACTTCTACATCTTCGTTTGTGGGATCCCGTTCGGTACTCGCACTCGTATCGGTACGTGTATCGGTAACTGTACGAGAATCAGCAGCATTGCTGCTACCGGCCCGATTGTCCTGATCCGCTGTGGACCGAACATCGGTGTTAACGCGAAGTGGCTAGCAAATTTTCGAAATAATTCCCAAAAATTACCTTAGCTCATCTTACAGAGCGTTTTTTATACTACATAACGCGATAATTGTAATGAGTGTATCTTTTTTCGTTAGCAAGCCAAAAATTAGAGTTGTACGAGTGGTAGAGGGGGGCCGTAAGGTGAACCGCAAAATAATGGGTTGCGCCGCACTTATGTCGGGGGCGATTGAAGGAATATGCCATCACTCACAATCAGTGGTTGGCATTGAAGTAATCGCAATCAGGTGCGATCAAAATCTGCAACTGCCCCATCCAGCTTTGTTGAGCTTGTTGACAAGAAAGAGAAACAAAAGACGCCATAAACGCAAATCTGCCGTCTGATTGCAGTCTTTTGTTTTAGTGTCTATGACTGCATCAGTCTGCATGAATGTTATATGGCTGCCTGCCTGTTCTGCGTTGCTCCACATGTGCATGTGCTTTTGTGTGCGGCAGCCAGCACCTCTCGGTACCGGCACCAAAGCCGTGAAAGAGGTATACTTTTGCAAGCTAACAGTGAACAAAACGTAAAAAAACTTTGAAAATCAGCTGTGAATACATTTGTTTGCCAAAAATTACGAATAAAATCGCATTAAATAAAGTAGAGATGGCAACGGCTCAGCCGAAGCCGTTTGAGCCGCGGCTAAGCCGGCTTCGGCTGAGCCGGCTCGACCCAAAATTGAAGCCGTAGCCGATGCTAGCCGAGCCGATTGAGCCGGCTCGGAGTCTCAGCCAGCCGCGCGCCAGCCGTAAGCCGATGTCGGCTAACGGCTTGCGCATTGTGGGCGAAAATGTGTTAGTTTAATTTTAGCTCTTTTGGCCCGTTCAAAGCCGATTTAGAGACTTGAAAAACCGATGATCTTATAAAAAAGTGCTGAATTTTTGTTTCGGAGACCTCTTTTTCCAATAAAAACTGATCAAAAACAGTTTTTGCTTAAAAGAGAACAGAAAAAAGTGCTTTTCAGTGAAAAAGTACTTGTGTTTTCCCGCGCTAAAAAACTATCGGCTAAGCCGGCTCGGAGCCGGCTTAGCCGGCTCGCGTTCAGAGCCCTGCCGTTAGAGCCGGCTCAGGTAGGTGAGCCGATGCTTTCGAGCCGGCTTGCTATTTTAGCCAGCCGCAGGCAGCCGATAAGCCATTAAGCCAGCCGTTGCCATCTCTAAAATAAAGTACCGCAGCCTGAGCTTATTATACGGACAGAATCTCTGTTTAGGGTTTTGTTCGGCAGATATGGTCAGAAATATCCAGGGGTAGGGTGCCCCAAGCACTTCTTTGGCACCCCCGATTTTTTTTCTTTTTCTGTTTTTTATCAATCAAAATTCTGTCCGTATAATAAGCTTATAATACTTCGCTCTATAAAATGGCCGTTTCAGAATATTTTTTTCACATCTGTACTCTGTAAAAATCGACTTCAAATTTTTCACTTTAAAAGCTAATTTCTCCGCAACAACAAATGCGTCAACGTTACTGAACCCATTTTAAAGTACAAAAATCATTTCTTTATGTGTCATATGCTACGGTTTTGTCTCAAACTGTAACGCGTCGACGGTATGCCCGTTTCCGCAGAAGGACCGAGTTGCTAGCCACTTCGCGTTAATTATGATTATGAGTAAATCTCTAACACCAGTATCGCTATCGTTAACGTTACTTTGATATTAGCTTTCGATTGATAAAAGTGCATGCAGTATTGTTATAGGTGATTTGTTATTTAGCGTTAGCACGCGGTCAATACTGTGTATAATTTATGCTGCGAACTGAGTTATTTCATTTTTAATTAGCACTTTGACGTACTACAAGCTTGTCCCGTAATTTCATCGTAAAGTTATAGATGGAACGTAATTTGTATTTAGCGCAAAAATTTTCACTTTGATTTCTACCACTCTACTACGTCTACAATAGCAAATTTACTCTTCTCAATATTTAAGGTTTAGGATAAAAGGTAGAAGTCAACATTTATAATTTACACCAATAGTGATAATTTATGCAGATAAATTTTAGGCGCAATTAAGCATCAGCCATGCCAAACGCCTGCAGATCCTAAATATGTATGTGCCAACCGATGTGTGCCGTCGTATGGAGTTTAACGTAACCCGTGAATTTATATTTCGTCGCTGTTTAGTTAATGCTATAGAAATTTCGGGACAAGCTTGTACGCGCAATTATACAAATGCACTTTTGGCACTGGGTAATAAACATTTTCACACTCCAGTCATCAGTAAGACAACGTTGTACAATATGAAATTATGACCTGTGTATTCTTCCCTGCCCTGGGCTGCCACCCATTTCGCCTACGGGACATTTCGCCTATGGGACATTTCGCCTAAAGGACATTTCGCCTAACAACTGTTTCGAATCATAAATAACACCGGAAGATTATCACGACACGACGGAATCAGCGCGGAATTCACTCGGGGCCTGAAATCAGCTGGCTTTCCTTCGAGAATGGAACCAAAAGGTCTATCCTTGAAAGATAAGAAGAGGCCGGATGTGATCACCCTCATTCCGTGGAAGCGCGGAAAACCGCTGGCATTGGATGTTACCTGCGTGGACACGCTGGCAGCCTCGTATATCGACCGCGCTTCCGTGAATGCCGGCGTAGCAGCCGAGCTTGCTGAAAGGAAGAAATTAGCGAAACACGCTTGGATGCAACCAAGATACGATTTCGTTGCTGCAGCCTTCGAAATTTACGGACCTTTTTTTGGAGACGGTACTAAAAAGCTAGTAGAAACGGTTGGAAACGGTATAGCGACTTCAGCTGGCCAAAAACGGGCGAAAGAGTTTTTAAACAGCGAATATCTATGCAAATACAACGGGGAAACGCGATTTGTGTAATGGGTACGATCCCCGATCAGGATAGGATAAAGGAAGTGTTTCTTTCGTAAGCGCTGTTTTGTTCTGGTGCATAGTTTGTACTCGTACCATGATACTTATTAAAGGTTTATAGATTTAGTTCTTAGAATCTTAACTATAACTTTAATCACACAAGCAAGAATAACAATGAGATGGAAAGCAACAAGAAATGGTAGACCGATCGCTGAAATGATCGATATCATTCACAGCAAAGCAACACCTTATATCTCAGTGCAACCGTGTTGCAACAATTCTAGAAAGTTCGTTAACTTTCATGATGACAATAAAACACGAGAAAAATCTCTTAGATTGTCAAACGTTATGGCCAAAGCCATAACGTGCTCATCCATGCACACACACACGCAGTTCAACACGCTGTAATAAAACGCATCATGCACAAACACAAGTTTAGCAATAAAGCTCATAAACATTGTCGCCTTTCAAATGACTGCTATGCGTATACCGGCGTAACAGCTGCAACAGTGTTACCGCACAGTTTCTGGTCCCGGCACATTACACGTTCGACCGTACTGTGAAGGAATGTGGTTTACAAATATTGCACGATTCTGTCTCTCATTACCACCCATGCGAATTCTGATGGTGGAAATCAGCGCCCCACAGACAACTGTCGCTTAGGAATTTATCAAAACAACACATGCTGCTGTATTTACACTGCACCTATCAATATCATGTCACCTTGACAGACAAACAACCATCCATCACAAATCCGCCGAGTCATTTCAAGCGACGCGTACATACTGAAATCCTAAAGTTGTAACAATTATGAGCTGAATTGTGTGAACGATAACTCTGGGCAAATTAGGTTACTTGCCGCCCGGTCTGTTGTTTGTCGTAAATCGTCGCCGTTGTTTGTCGTCGTTTGTTATTTGTCGTAAGTGTTGAGAATTTTCCGAACGATCGAACTGCATAAGGCAGCGGAAAAACAACCCCATCAATCTTGATTCATCAGACATTACTGCCACCGCGAGTGTGAAGCAGTCAAATAACAAACACATTCGCACATAATAAACATGGACTAATGGAGATAAAAAGCCGTGATACAGTCTTTCATCTTATTAAGACATTACAATAGCAGTTTTCTTGTTTGGTCGAATCCACCACAATGTCGCGGCTATTGTATCTCTTCTTTGTTGGACTAACCATCCTTTTCCTAACTGGATTCACGCGCGGACAAAGTTACGGGCAAAGCTCCGGTCCTTCTCAAAGCTGTTCCACATCATGTCCGATTGTATATCCTCGCGTTAATGCTTCGGACTCCGTTATGCTGTTTATTGACTATCAGACCGGCACACTGTACTTCGCCCGCAATGTTCCCCGCTCGCAGGTTGGTCTCCTTTGGCGCACAAAACACTTATTCACACAACTGCCAAATACTTTAACACTTTAAATTAAAGACACAACTGTTGCACGCAAGTACTCTTGTTCTACGTGTTTATTTATTTCCAGCTTGCTCTTTGATAGTTTTCTATGTGTACCGGTTTCCGGGCTCGCATCCGTTACCCAGAACGGTTGACCTCACTGATTTCCTAACATAAACCTAATTATCAGAAGGGGTCGTTGTGGAATTTTTACCGCGGTTTGCGTATATTTTACATTTGCAATAAAAGTGATAACTTTAATCATGATGATACGTTTCTTGCGCAGATATTGGGCAATATGAAATACCTGGCTTACTTGGCCAAAATCCTCAACATCCCCACGGTGATGACCACCAGCCTGGAGGACCAGTTCGACGGACCCGTCGTGGACGATCTGCAGCAGCTGCTCCCTGACTCGTACGCCAGCCGCGTCAAACGCCTGGGAACCATCAACCCGTGGGATGAACCGGCGTTCAAAGCGGCCGTGATGAAAGCCGCCGGGGGCCGGAAGACGGCCATCGTGTCCGGCCTGACCAGCGACGTCTGCGTGGCCAACCCGGCCATCTCCATTCAGCAGGACGGGTTCAACGTCATCGTCGTGCAGGATGCCAGCGGCGCGCCCAATCAGCAGGCGGACGACAACGCCCGCCGCCGCTGGGAGAAAGCCGGTGTCAAGACGTACACGGCCGGAATGTTGATTACGGAGATGGCCAACAACTGGCAGACACCCGATGGGGCGCAAGTGCTGCAGCATCTCATTATTGAACAGTATATTCCCACGCTGAATACCACGTATCCTTGGAAGGAAGGCTTCAACTGATCACGATAACATATGATTATGTAATTATATGTTTTTGAATACTAGACTTGGTATGAACACCACGATGCGCATATACTGTATCTTGGACAAGCAGGAAAATTTCGTTCTGTTAATTTCCCCGCTTTTGATACGAGTGCATAATCTGACTAAACAGTAAATCTCGAATGGTTTCGGTAATTGTTGAATCCCTTTAGAACAGCTTAAGCCCTTTCTGGAAACACAGCCAAGGTGTAGCATAACTGTGTAACTAGCGGCAGAATGTTTCATTATGCCCGCTGCTGACAGCAGGAAACAAACCAACTTAATATTCAGAACGTAGCATTATCAGTTGCTGCGACACACCGGACATTAACACACCCGGCTGCACTTGCGCTTCGTGTGCTACACACTACAAAAGGTCATCGAACCAAGCGTACAAATTAACAATCATAGCAATTTTAAAATGTCATACAAACTCGTAAGCCGACAATGGAATACTGGCAGCCTTAGAAATAGCGATCAGACAGCTTTATCGTAAAGTCTGCTTTGACAGAACACAGTCATAAAAGTCTTGATTATGGCTCAATAAAGAAATCAAAGAGTCAAGATTTGCCAGGTTGTGTCAAAGAAAATCCGAAGAAAGCCTGAACTATACAGTACAGCAAGAAACGTAAGCTGCTCATGATCAGTAACCGTAGTAATCTTAAATGGAATGCTAGCTACGCCACCAATGAAAGTGTAAACTATGCTTCTCGAAATTCTTCTGCTCCAATCCTCAACCGTTGCTCAGCGCTTCAGTGCTTCACTATCCCCTTTTTTGGTGGCAGAGTACGAATTCCAGAGGCCACAACAACAGCAGATGCTTCTTCATTCGACCGAGTTGATGATTTTACTAAAGACTGTCGCCGTTAGGCTTGTCAGCTGGCGCACGTCCAATGCGCAGATGTCGGACACCGTCCATACCCGACCGCTATACGGAGTGGTCGGGCGGGGATCCTTGCTCTGGTACGTGTTGAGAGTCTGCCAAATATCGAGACACGATGTTGAACCAACAAGCAGAATGCTTTGCGTTAATGCCTATCATACAAACAAGCGCTCTTCGGCACATTTCCAAACCAGTGCTGGCGATTTATAGTCACTGGATGTACGGTTCGACGCTTATTCGCAATTAGGAGCGCTTTCACATTACGGATCGGTTTTGTCTTCTGCGTACCGGACACCGGAGATGTTTTATCTCTGCCGGTTTTCCTATATTTTAAAACTAGATACAGTAAATTTTATTTATTCGTGCACAAGCTTGTATAAAACCAATAATTTCTGTTCACTAATACCTTTCTGTATACTAAATATAAAAAGACCGGTGAGCGTGCGTTCACCATCATGTACTGTTTTAAAAGTTTTTGTCACGGGAAGCCGTGTCTCTCATGTCCGCTACGCAAATCCATACCGTGGAAATGTTCGGAATGCGAAAAACGTCGACTTACATGTTGTACACGGTTTGGTGAAGCTCTAATGAAAATTTTGGAACCACGGACCGACTAACCGCTTTCCACTGCATTCCAGTCTGTATCGTGCGGCTCCACCACGGAACATTACGTAGCGCAAAATAAGAAAACTACTAAGAAACCCACTTACCTCTACAACATGCTTTTTAATCTGCTCGTCTTGTGTGGGCGCAACGCGGTCAGCAATCCATTCCTCCAGTACCGACCGATCCAACGGTTTGTTGGCAATCAATTTGCTTTCGACGAGATTCCACAGCTGCATTTTGATCTCATCTCCAGACTGCCCGCCAAATGCGTACTGTGGCACAACGCCCCGCAGGTTTTCGTCACCGATGTGGCAGTTCGTGATCACCACCCTGTCGCACACCCTCACCGAACACTCTGCGATCAGATCAGCCAAACCCTCAATCGCCTCAACAACATCCACTGCGGTAATAAAACTGCAGTTATACAACACCAGCGCCCGCAAGCGCTGGCCATTCCGGACGTGATACAGCAAATCAGGTAGGTCGGGGAAATTGTAACAGCGGATGTTCGTGATAACCAGCCTCGTGGCGCTGCTGCGGAGGCATTTCAGTACGCCAGCCGGCAGCCAGTACAAATCCATGACCTCCAGCGGAAAATCACCGTAATCCTTATCCGTGGCGGATAGACGGACATCGGGGAAGTAGGCCTCCGTGGTCAGGAGAGTGTGCCACACGGCGCACACCCGCCGACAGCGAAAGCGGTCGATGGAGTCCAGTGCGAGGAAGACCTCGATCAACAGTTCAGCCGGTAGCGGCAGGCTCGCTTCGCCACTACTGTTAATGTTTCCCGGCGGATCGGCTGCATTGATGGGTAGATGACGCAGTAGACGATGCGCTTCATAGGAAATGCGCCCACCAGCCGTTTCGTGTTGCGCCCAAGCGTAAGCAGTTTCCTGCAACAAGAACTAGTGACGTGTACCGGTGGGATGGAACGTACACCTTGTACACATCTTTATACTTTTGTCGCTTTTCCTATATTTTATATCTTATTTGTACATACTTGTTTTACCTATACTTGTCTGGCTTATTTACTTCGGATGACGCGGATCTACGTTTTGACCAATGTTGTTGTTTCTCAGCTGTTGTAGCCAATGGCTAGCTAGAACATCCTTGTTGGTATCACGCCTACTCGATGCCTGCGCGCATCTCGAAGTCTATATAAGGCCAGCGGAATGTGTCAGTCGAATGAACTTGGAGATTTCTCGATTTTATTCGGTTATCTCACAGATTTTCCTATAAATCACTGTTGCTCGTAGTTGTTCTCGGACTACAGTAAAGTGGTACACAGGTATCTGCAGTTCACTCTCATTTACTCGTGATCAAAGGTCGCTTCCTGATCGAGCACATGCTCTCAGTAAATCTTGTTGATTGCCTCTGCTTCCATCTGGCGTTAGCGTTGAGTAAAGGTCACGCTAAGGATTTCGGATTCGTCTCTTCTACGTCGACTGGATATAACACATTGGATTCTTCAGGATCTTCAGGGATTCCAGAGCTTCTAGGATATAGGAGTATTTCCCACCGAGTTCTTCACTGTAGCAGATTGAGATTCTCAGAGTCGCTCTACCGATGTTGTCGTGGTCGGTAGCGGTATCAAAAGTTCAGTCCTAGAACCTTACTTACCGTTTGTGTATTTAGGAGGTCGTCCGTTCGTCAGTCGCTTCTCTTGTCTGCCTTCCCGTCCTCCTTTATTTATACACGACACTAGTGATCAGGAAACCAGTAAGTCCTATCACTTCGGCTAAGGTTCTGTTCTACCCCGTTTCGCCTGACGACCAGTTCAGACACCGCTTATTTTGGCTGCAGATCTGCGTGGCAGGTTTTCTGGTATCTAATGTTCCTGGTTTTTTAGATATCTTAGGTTTTGTTATAGATTTTCTTGCTTCCATACGTTTTCTTAGCTTTTTATAAGCTTTCTAGTGAATACTGGCCAGATGGAGCGGTAGGCAAGAAAGTTTGGCCGAAATGAGAACAGACGAAACTTAAACGGATGAAGCGATCGCTATAGCCGTAAATTGCCTCGTTCATCTTTAATGATGCCAGTGGGTCGGCAGGTGGTTTGTTATCTACACAGACGTCATCTACATGCATTCCAACGAACACGAGAGGGAACAGTTCCTAAACCACCCTGAATACACCTCCGTTGAGTCGGAGAACCTTAGCGCAAATTTATTTCCGAATTCTGTGGGTACTTACCACTTGGTCCGTTGTCAATGGATTGGCATTCTGACGTTGTAGATAGCGCAGTGTTTCGGTCCGCGGGGAGAACTCTACACACAGCACTGCGAAGCACCGCGTTAACCACCACTTAAACAATTCCAGCAACAGCGGCGACCCGTCTGCACAGCTGCCGGCCGACAGCCGACAACAACGGACAACAAAATGGTCGTTCTTCACACGAGCCTTCAGAAGAAACTCGTCCGAGGGCGGCCGACGCACCTGGCCGCAGGGAACCAGTTCCTGGAGCGGGCCGCGGGGCAGCTGTACTTCCACGCACCGATAATCCTCATCACGGTAGCCTCCCATACCGACCACTTTCCCAGGATACCAGATCCAAGCGCCGTCCGGCTGCCGACGTAGCAAGACCTGCGCTGGCTTTGTCTCGTCCGCGGACTCGTCGTAGCTGTGCCAGATAAGCTCGTGCTTGATGCACTGCGCGCGCTGGTCAGCACAGCGAAAATCGATGTTCAGGCCGCCCTCCGCCACGTTGACCACGTTGCCGTGCTGCAGTTGCCCGTTGACGAGAACGTCCACGGCGTTCCACGCGTTCATCAGTTCTTCGTCATACAGATGCATCGCGCGGTTTGTGCTTACACACCCTAACCCTCCTCGAGTCTGCTACTGAAAGTTATTGCAAATAATTGTGAAGGACTTTTCAGTCGAACTCTTACACTTTCTAGCCTTGCAATGTCTGAAGAATAATCGCTCGTGAAACGGGCTCGGTGCTGTGTGAGCGAGTTACTGTGACTGCGAAAAAGTGTAAGTGCATAACAGATACGTTACTCATAACTGTTAAACATGAGTCACGAGAAGCCGTGAACGCTCCAACAGCACAGCACAGCAAGTAGATGCGAAAAAGTAACATTTTACCATACGTCACGATGCCGTATTTACACAGCTAGTGGACAAATCAAAAGGTTAACTCGAGGATTCTGCTTTGAAATTCGACTGGCAAGTTCTACTTCAGTCATTGCAAGCATTAATAATCAGGTTTTCAGGAAGAGACCAGCAGCTGGTGGGGGTGCCTTCCTAGTCGGTCGCCTCAAGACGTTGACTCAGGATCTTCGCAGTCAAGGTGGTCAGCTGGCTAACATCCAAATCGGATAGAGTTGTCTCCGTCCACACTCGTCCGCGGTAGGGAGCGGTCGGGCGTGGGCTCAGTCTTTCAAAGTAGTTTAGGGTCTGCAAAACGTCTTCAACGTCAGTCCTTGTCGAGGTATGCCGAAGAGCAAAACAACAAACAAGACTTAACAAGTACATACCATTAAGATCGCCCCGCATCGTTTCTGAGTAACGCTACCAACAACGCGATCCGCCAGTGCTTGTAGATTCAGCGGCTTCTTCAGAACCAGGTTGCTTTCGAACAGGGTCCACAGCCCCATCTGCAGTTCGGGTCGCGAGTACGGGGCGCTGAAGGCGTGCTGTGCTACAGCGGCGCGCAGATCCTCGCCCTGACTGATACT